CATTACTGTTAATTGTTACTATTCATTCTGGGTAGATACTGGCTGTCGGAGGGACCTTTTCTGTCGCTACTTTCCAGCTTCTCTTGGAAGTTTGGTGCTGATCTTCTAAGATCCTCTACCACCTTATCTGATATCACCATTGCAGGGCTTTAATTGTAACTATGTTCAGTTCTCTCACTACTTTACCTTCCTTGCCCATAGCCCTGGAAGTATCTTGATGTTGAAATGTGAGATTTTTTTTTTTCTGCTTGTTTTATCAGCTCTTAGTACATAAGAAAGCTGATGGTGTTAAATGAACATTTCAGGATACAGTTAATATTATTTTTAAAATAATGAGATTTGCCACTAACAGGAGTTGCTGTGTGCCAGTCGTGGTGTTAAGTGCTTTCAATGCATTATGTAATTTAACTCTACAGAAACACTGTGAAACCAGTATTGTACCTCCTTTAAAACAGAGGAAACAAAATTTTAGAGATGTGAAATAACACATCAGAATTTCATAGCAATGAGTAGTATAGTCAAACCCAGCACCCATGTCTGCCTGAGCCCAGAACCCCTGCTTTAATATGATGCTTGGTGGGGGGAGCAGTTTCTTCCCAAAGATAAACTGGAGCTTGAGGACCAAGATCTGCACACAGTTTTAGATAGCTTTATGGGCACACAATAAAACTTTCATCCACCATCAGAGGTACAAAGACACTTTAGTGTTCTTTTTCTGTAATCTGTGTAACTCATTAGCCTGCTGGGGCCTGAAGAACCAGAAAGTTTTAAGCTTGCCAGCTCACAGTATCTATCACAGTATCACAGTATCTTCCAAATTAGTCCATCTTTGGGTGGCTCCATCTTTTGGACAAATAGCCAGTCTTTGAGAGCCTCTCTCCTTTCCTGTTGTCTGGAGGACAGAACAGGTAAACACGGTTTGTGAAAACATGGACAGTGGTCTCCTTATCTTGTGCTAGTCCTTGGGTTGCACTGTCTAATCCTGCTGTAGCATTCTGGTCCTGAGCATTTGGTTGGTTCTCTATGCTGAACCGTAAGCTGCACTTTTCCCTACAGACTTGGCTGTGGCTTTGTGTGGCTTCTTCAGAGTTGGATATTTCTCCTATTTGGGTTCCACCCTGTGGACTTCTAAAAAATATTTTATTATATTTTTTATGTGTATGAGTGTATTGCCTGCATGTATGTAAGTGCACCCATGTTATGTGATGCCCGCGGAGGTCAGAAGAGGGTGTCTCACCCCCTGGAACTGGAGTTATGGACAGTTGTTAGCTGCCATGTGGGTGCTGGGATTCGAACCTGGGTCTTTTGCAAGAGCAGTCAATGTTCTTAACCACTGCACTCTCTCTCCAGCCCCCAAATATTTTATTATATTTTTTATGTGTATGAGTGTATTGCCTGCATGTATGTAAGTGCACCCATGTTATGTGATGCCCGTGGAGGTCAGAAGAGGGTGTCTCACCCCCTGGAACTGGAGTTGCAAACAGCTGTTAGCTACCATGTAGGTACTGGGGACCAAACCGGGGTCCTCTGCAAGAGCAGCCAGTGCTCTTAACCACTGAGCCATATCTCCAGCCCACCCTATGGATTTTTAATGTCCCTTTGTAGTAATCACGTGTCAGGCATCACCACTACCATAAGCTCAGCTCTCTGAAGCATCTCGAGCTCAACTTCTTGCTTATCTCCTGGAGGACAGACGGAAACTTCTATACCTCAAGCCTTCCTTCTACCCAAGCAACTGATGGGACTTCGCTGTGATGGGGTTGTCCCTTGTTAGTGAAGGGGGGCCTCCCTGGGGTGGGCTGTACCTTACTAGAGAAGAAGGTCTGTACTGTGATGGGGCTGCACCTTGTTAAGCAAGGATGTCCTCACTGGGTGGGTTGCACCTTCCTTGGGGAGAGAGAGGGTCAGTGAGACATTTTTTTCAAAGATAGTCACTTCCTAGGTTTTCAAATGTGAAATCAGACAAGAGAAAGTGCCCTAGATTTTGGCTTTGCCTTCAGCCTATTTGACACCTCTCTTGTAGGACACAGAGCAGAACACCTGAGACCTCTGCTTTTTCCAACATCCCTCATCCAACTGGGCCTAGAAAGGACAGACTTGCTCTGCACTCTTCCCACCTTTTCTGCGTTCCCCAACATTGTATCATCTTCCCAAAGTGAAATTTGCCCTCCTCCTTCCCCCAAGGCTAGCATGAAGAATGGCTGCCAGGTAACCAGATTTATGGGGAGAGGAACGAAAACACATCTGTTTAATGTTTTCAAATTATTACCCCTGTTACCTCTGCATCTTAGAGGGTAATGGCTGGTCTCCGAGCTCTCTGAGTCCCTTTATAGTAGTGTGGCTCAGAGCAGTCAAAGGGGAAGATTTACAAGGGCTCAGGAATCCCTCCTCCAGCCAACTGGCTATCTCTCCCCTTTTAGTTTGAATGTTTGACCATTGTCCCCTCCTCCTTGAGCAGCTTGGGGGGAAAAAGTGAGAGCATTCACTTTGCAAAACTAGTGATAAAAATTAGTTTAAATTATGCTGGACGTGGTGGTGCACGCCTGTAGTCCCAGCACTCGGGAGGCAGAGGCAGGCAGATCTCTGTGAGTTCAAGGCCAGCCTAGTCTACATAGTGAGTTCCAGGCCAGCTGGGGCTGCAGGTGGACCTTGTCTCAAAAAGACCCAAAAAAAATTAGTTTAAATTAAGCCAGGTGTGGTGGCACATGCCTTTAATCCCAGCAAGCAGGAAGCAGAGGCAGGCTTTGTAAATTCTAGGCCAGCCTTTTTGTAGTGAGTTGCAGGCCTGCCAGGGCTGCATAGTGAGACCATACATCACACAGAGTTAAAATTAATAAACTATATATTGAAATTTAAACCAAGTTAGTCCTCATAATAACATCATTTGCTCCTAATATATTTAAATATGGGATCATGCAAAGGTAAGCTTATATGAAATACATGAAAAAAAACTCTCATTGGGAGGGCAGACCCGGAAAACACTGAACATTTGATTTGTAGACAGTATCTTTCAACTTCAGACAGTCCCCCCAAAAGGGGAAGCTTTGGAGAAACAAATCGTAGAGAAACTGACAAGTGGGCCAAGTAACAGAAATAGCAAGAGGAAGTGGGAATCTCCGCAGCAGTGAACACTCCATGTCCCTGTAGCTGGCCTTATGACGTGAAACTTGTGTGCGGCTTTTACACATCTGTTCATGTGTCTTGCTGAGATTTAGGTCAGGACTGGATCCTGATTGCATGAGGAAAAAGAATTATCATAAAACAGGTTCAGATGAAGGAATCAGTTTGTGCTCTGTGAACTCACTGGGTAGGCTGAAAAATACAGTTATTAAAACAGCAGCCCCAAAGCAGGCTATGAAATACAAAGGGAAGAGGGGGCTTTTCTGAGCCTGTCATTACCATCTGGGCTGTGAAACCTTTGATTCCCAGCACAGAAGCTTGACACCAGAAATAGCTGATAACCGGGGACACGTGCTGGAGAATTTTCAAGAATGACAGACTTTGGGGTTTTAATATCTGTATCACAACATGATGAAGCTGATAAGCCATACGGTGTCCAGTGGTGGAGGGAGACTTGGGGGGCGATTCTTGCCCCTTCTGTTTACGTGGTGCCTTTCACACCCTCAATTCTTTCCACCACAAGGAACTTTGGATACCACATCTAATGAGTCCTTCTGACTGGTCTCTCCTCTTGAAGAGAGAGCACTGCTTCCATGTGTTGAGAGTCTATGGCCTAATCCTTGATTGTGCACAGTACCTGCAATTCTATACACAGCCAACTTTTCACAGTATTTTGGATGTGTCTGAAATATTTGATTATTGCCTTGGTTTATAATATCACAGATCACTGACAAAAACATGTCATTCTTTAGTCCTAGTCCAATACTTCCAGTGTGATCTTCAGAAATTTACCTAAACCCTCTAGTTCACTTTCCTCTGCATAGTGCTCAGTGCTCAGAGCAGCAGGCAGCATGGAGTCAGCATCAGATTTTTTTTTTTTTTTTTTTTTTTTTTTTGTCTTTGAGATAGGGTCTCTCTGTAGCTGGCCTGGAACTCCCTATGTAGACCAAACTGGCTTCCTTCACACATAGATCTGCCTGCCTCTGGCTTTCCAGTGCTGGAATTAAAGGTGTGTGCCATGACCCCAGCTTATTTTAACCATTTTTAAATGGGGATGACAGTACATGACTTCTAGGTACTTTATCTGAAAACTACAATTGCAGTAGTACAGAACGTGAATGTTGAAAGCGTCCATATGCTAAATAACGTGGTCACTTGTTTAAGTCACATGGAAATCAATCAGTGATATGAATCAGGGGGCAAAATGAAGAATTTGAAGTCAAAGAGCTGGGTAGTACACACCTCTAATCTCAGCATTCAGGAGTCTGAGAAACAAGATGGTAAATTCAGGACCAGCCGAGGCTACATAGGAATTGCCAGGTTTTTTTTTTTTTTTAGAAAAAGGATCTCCTTTGAAATGGTCGTTAAATAATTTTTTGATCCCTCTTGAGAATTCTTTTATACAGTCTCTTAATTTGCAACCTCACTGTAAGAAGAGGAGAGCAGTTTCCTCAGTTTTCCGTTTTTCTGCTGCTTTTAAGCGGGAGGTGGGTGCTTGGGAGAGCAGAGGAGCATGCTCGAAATGGTACCCTCCACTCCACCCTTCCTGCAAGCTAGCCACCAGGTCTTTGTGGGTTCGTCCTGCAACCTGGCCGTGTTCCCTTTGCAGGGAGCTCGGCGCGGAAGGAGTTAAAGGGTCTCCCCGCCGGGGCTGGGATCCTTTTGTGTACACAGCTGCAGGGGAGCTCGGGAGGAGAGGAAGCGGCGGAGGAAGGCCGGGTTTTCCCTGCCGGGTGCAGGCCAGCCCAGTGCAGCCTGCAGCCCGCAGCGCAGCCCAGTGCGAATACAGGCGAGGTGATGAGTTAGCGGGTTGCTAGGGCGACGGGCTCACGTGACCCGGCTGCAGCCGCTGCTGGGCTGCAGGCGCTATGACGTCGGGGGCGTGGCCCAGTGAGGGGCGTGGCCTCTGGAGGGCGGGGCCGAGCGTGCGGCAGCCAGAGAGGAGCAGAGCCGGAGGCTGCAGGGTCCGGAGCAGCGTGCAGCGAGCGGGAAGACGCAGCCGCCCTCGGCCCCAGACAGCCCTCCGCGGTCAGTTCCCTCTCTCGGGAGTGCGCCAATGCCCGGGCCGACCCAAACCCTGTCCCCAAATGGCGAGAACAACAACGACATCATCCAGGATAACGGGACCATCATTCCTTTCCGGAAGCACACAGTGCGCGGGGAGCGATCCTACAGGTAATGGGCTGGCACCGGGCGCGGCCGGACACGCGGCCCGTTATGTAACGGACGCCCGGGCTGCAGGCGTGCATGCGAAGGCGGTGCTGATGGTGCGGGGTTGGGTCCGTGCGTCCTGTGGGGTGAGCATGGAGGCTGCCGCGGTTGCAGATGGAAAGCATTTTGTGAATAGGTCTGCTGCCTGCAAGGGGTCTCCCTCCACCTCGCCTTCCTCGCTGACAAAATGCGTCCCCCCGCCCATCTCCAAAGGGCTCTGCACTTCCTTTTAGATTTTTAAAGGGACCATTAGGTAGCTGGGACGAAAGGGAGAAAACAAACGGGAGGATGGCGAGGAAAACGTTAGCACTGAACCTGGAGAGCATGCAGGAAAAGATGGAATCCTCCAGATGAAGCTGCGGTGTGCGATGTGAAACCGCCAGATTGATGGAGCTTTGTACGAATTCTGAGCGCTGATTGGTGCAGGGATTGACAGCAGAGGTCACGGTGTCACACGTACACCAAAATTTTCTCCATCGTCCCCCTAGGCTGATTAGAAAGAGGCTGGACTGTTCAAGATCTGAAAGAGAGAAACAAAAACCGGGCGCCGCTGCTGCGTATTTTCTGGGAGTTGGTGGCCTCTGCATGGGTGGGGGAGCCCTTCTGTCGTATTTACAGTAGGAGGTAATTCCTGGTATTTGGCTGAGCTCTGATTTAGGGATGGGGATGGAAATGATCTTGGTCACTGCATTGTGAGCCTTTTGATTAATGAGTTGTCTGCGCGGTTGGCATCATTTTACATTAACATATCTGGCAATATGTTCTGGTAGATAAGCTCATTAAAATTGTTTGCATTGTTTGATAAGGACAATGTGATGGAGAGCGCAGCTCATGTCTTGGGCGGCTCAAGGCCAGACGTAGAGGGGAGACTGATAGCTTCAGTCCTACTTCCTCTAATCCTTTTGTGCTGGGGTAGTTATTTTTAAATGTAACCTTCACAACCACTAACAATGCTTTTGCTTTGAAGCAGAGCTCACATACCTGTAAAAGGCATCCTCTGAGCCAGTGAGCAACAGGAAATAACTCTTCTTTTTAAGAAGCCTTCATCTGAATACTTAATTATATTCTGGGCAGAATATCCTATGTGTATAGATGCTGTATGCATATTGTACAGTAAGACCCAAAGTACCCCGTTTCCTTTCTCTTTAAGCAAACACACCATTTAGAGTCGACACTCAAAAAAATAAAAAACAACCCTTTGCGCTGTCATCTCTGGCAGTTACATAAATACTCAGAGTTAATTTTGGCTGTGCCCATGAGGTCACCAAATCTCATGTCTTATGGTTCCAATGAATGTGTCGGCATGGCATACTTAACAGATTTCAAGGTTTTATTATTTGCTTAATGTAAACCAAAATTGACTCACAACTTCTGGACCTTCTGGGGACTCTGTAATTAGAAAGTTGAGTCCCTTCTCACCTGTCTTCTCTGGGACTATTTCATCCTAAAGCCTAAAAATAGAAGTTTTAAAACAAACAAAATCAAGTTGCTTTTAAACCTCACTTATTTGAGCTGTTCTCACAGGCAATAAATTTGAAGCCCTTGTTTCCTAAGTAGCTATGGCTTTTAGGATGTAGCACACATATTACCATGAGGGCCAAAGGAAATTGTTTAGTTGGATTTTATTACTCATATGAACTCAACTCAAAATGGCATTGGAAGGTTTGGAGAGATGACTCAGTGGTGAAGAGCACTGGCTGCTCTTCCAGAGGACCTGGGTTCAGTTCCCAGCACCCACATGGCAGCTCACAATCATCCATAACTCCAGTTTCAGGTTATCATTCAACACCCTCTTCCAACTTCCATGGGCATTTCATGCATGTGATGCACTTACATACATGTACATACATGCAGGCAAAAGATTCATACACATAAACTAAAAAATAAAAATTTTTAATGGCAATGGAAAATCATTTGACAGAAAGAAATTAAATGTCAAGTCCTGTGATAATGTATTGCTTTAAAATGAAATTTTATTTGCATATTTCATTCAAGTGAATACTTTCATTTTCTGAATGATTTCTACTTTGATTTCTGATTCCCTATTGTGGCATCAAAATTTTATAAACACACATACACACACAAACAGAATTTTGGTAAAAATCTGGCTAAACAAATTAAGTCACTAAAAGCATCATTGTGCGTTTGTATTTTATTGAATAGGATTACTGGATCCTGTAGTAAGAGATCCTTAGGTTCAATGAAGAGAGAAACCTCCAGATTTTCGTTTGTGCTGTCTGTGCCCAGGGTGCACGTGAGACAAGCACACTGTTTCCCTTAGTCTGGATTCCTTCAAAGTGGACGAGTGTGTGGTAGAACTACTGTGCGTTTTTTTGTGTTTTGTTTTGGTTTTTTTTTTTTTTTTTTTTTTTTTTTTTTTTTTTTTGGAGAGACCTAAGGGATAGGAAAAGTGTGACACATTTTTCTACCCAGGAAGCATTCCATCATCATTTTGGCATCCCAAGACTGGAATAATGTAGCCATCTAATTGCCTAGGAAACTTGGAAGGCAGCTTGAAAACCATAATAGAGATTTAACCAAGTAAAAGTTTGACCTTGGCTGTAGGTTTGTGTAGCCCTCAACAATGAGATATGTCTGGAAGTTTTCTGTCCCTTGGGGAGCCTGGGGATCCCAGGGCCCTAGCAAGACCAAAGGCAGTTCTGTTTCTAACTGATTCGCTGACTCCTAGGTAGACCCTAGCAGGCTTCTATCTCAGGCTTTGTTTTCTGACTTTGCTTGTTACATAGAAAGCTGTATTATCCTGTTTTTAAAAAGATGCTGAGCTTAACTCCAGGGAAATAATTTCTTGAAAGAGAAGAGCTGTGGGCTGGAGGTGCAGCTTAGTGGTAGAGTGCTTACCTAGCATACATGAGGCCCTGGGTCCCATCCACAGTAACACACATGCACGCACGTGCGCATGCACACACACACACACACACACACAGAGGTAAGTAAACACAGGAAGAATGCTTTGTTACTGAAGAGGGATTCTTTCAGGGCTTCTTAGACTGGAATACACCTTGCCTTGCTCTTAGTGGCATTTCGAGACAGCTAGAAGACTAGACAGGAGGACAGTGCCCCCTTCCCCCACTAATGTACAAACAGTCATTCTTTTTTTTTTTTTTTTTTTTTTGAACTAGATTATCCACAAATAAAACTGACCTAGATATTGTAAGTCAGGTATCCATGTGTATAAACAGGGTCCATTTTTGACCTGGAGTAGAATAGGTGATAAATCATTACTGAAATGCCCATGTGCTTTAATTAGAAAAGCAAGCTTTCCTTTAGAAAATCACCCCTGGGTTGGAGATTTTACTTGAAAAGATCAAGTGCCAAAATGGGCCCAGTAGAGCCACTTGCACACATTTTCACATCTCTAGCCCCAGCTTCCCTGCTGTGTTTAGGAGCAGCTAGAAATCCATATATTTCAGGAGCGTCTTAAAAAATAAATGTGGTGAGGGCCATCCGAGATGACACTGTTTAATTCAGAGAGCGAATGAGTCGTGCTCTAGGTCTCCCTGGAGAGAATACTCCCAAAGCTCTGTTCCACGCAGATGCCTCTCGGAAATGAGATTTATTAACTGGCCTTCTGCCCACCGCATCTTTGTTTGCATACTCCAGGCTTTTGAGAGTGATTGTGTAGAGAAGACTGTCTCAGAATGGGTGTTCGAACATGCAGCTATGGTAGCACAGGTCTGAATACTTTTTTAAAAAAATTACTTGACCCCAGGAAATGAACCGTAAAGAAAGGCAAAACTAAAATGTAAGCCCCAAATATTGGGTTAAAACATCCAGCTTTTGCCAGTTTAAAAAAAAAAAAAAAATGAACTGTCATTTAGGAAAACAAAAAGAAATATCATATGTGTGGATTTATAAAATAGAGGATTGTGAAAGTGTTTTCTGTTCCGTGGAAGCTATGGGAATGAGGCTCAGTTACCAGAATGTAGATTTCAGATATCACCCAGAACAGCAGCTCTAAACACCAAAACATGGAATGTTTAGTCTTTAATATTTTACTTAGTGCTTATAAAACCAGAGGAATCGTTACTTTCTGCTGTGATAGGTGCTCAACTTGGGAACTTCTTTTTGGGGTCCTTCCTCAGAGCTTCTGTGATGGCATGGCCCACTGGGTTCTCCTGCCTGGGGAGAGACCTACCTGTTCTGCATGGGTCATGGTATCTGTTTACTGTGAGGGATTTAACACAGCTGCAGTGCGAACTCATCCTCTGGAATTTGGAAGCTTGAATGCCTGATGGAGCATCTTTTCTGTGGATGGGGACATGTTGAAGCTGCAGTGAATGATCCCTCAAATTCAAGGAGGGGGAAGTCCTGGGAGCAGTGGAAATATTCCCTTAGGATGGGAGAACTTGATAAATATTTCATTGTTTTCTCTGGTCAAGGTCCATGCTCGATGACCCTTCAAGGACCTTGAGTTCTAGCAAAGTTGGAGGTATAAACTGCTCATCCTGAGGCAGATTTTCATTGCTCTCAATGTTTTGCTTACTCTGCTAGCAAAAGTAGTTTGCATTTCCTGAGCCCATGGTGACTCAAAACAAGAAAAGATACCCTGGAGGCCAGTAGGCTGTAAGAGGCTGAGAGACATACTAGCAAAACAAATGTTATCAGTGAAAAGAATGTAGGCTTTAGACTCAGACAAGGTCCTCACTGGCCTGACCAGGTGCCTAGTGGACAGTTGTGGGAAATGGCAGAGGTACCGAGGAGAGGCAGGCAGGGCGGTGGGGACTTAGAAGAAAAAAGCCCTGAAGCTTGTTACCTGGCAGTGCCTGGTTCATCAGTGTGAAGGATGGTTCCTTGTCATTTAGTGCTTTAGGATGGGTAGATGTGGCTAAGGAAGCTGTCCAGAACATTCTATATGACGCTGGACCAATCCCAGAGACCGAGGCCCCAGAAGTGAACTCCAAGTTTACCCTGGGTCGTCTGATCTTTTAAAATTTCACTTTCAA